AGCACAAGAAGTCCATTTTACTATCCACGAGCAATATGATAACCCAGAGGAAGGAGGATACAACATGGAAGCCTACCTGACCCTGGAAAAAGAGGTTCAAAGTGCATTGGCAAAACCAGCCACATCAAACAATAATGACGTGCAGCTTCCACGCATCAACATTCCCAAGTTTGATGGGGACATACTGAAATGGTCCCAGTTCTATGACCTGTTTTCATGTGTGATCCATGAAACAAACATGCCCACAGTTCGGAAGATGTGGTATCTGAAAACAACCGTAACTGGAGAGGCAGAAAGATTGATCCGACATCTATCTAAAGGAAGAAAATTATTTGAGCGCCTGGGAAATTCTGATTGATACATACAACAATCCCAGAGACGTCGCTATAATTATATAATTATAACACAGTTAATGACGACTCCAAGTCATTAAAAGAGTTGTACGTTACTACTATCGAATCCCTGGAATCACTAAAGGGATTGGGCATCAATATATCCACATGGGATCCAATATTGATTGCCGTCTTCAAAAATAAGCTGGATGTCACTAACAGAGCCTTGTACGAGCAATCATTGGGTAGCTCAAAGGAAATACAGGCCTTGGACACAATGATTCAGTTTCTAGAACAAAGAGTTCGAGTTCTAGGAACAGGCAAAAAGACACAAATGTCAAGGAAAGAGCCAAAAGGCACAACATGTGCAACAGTAAACACTGGAAAATCGAAGACGCCTCTCTGCTCATTCTGCAAGAAGGCAAGCCATTGGCTCTACGGATGCGATGAGTTTCGCTCCAAATCACCATCAGACTGACTAAATTGGGTACAAAAGCAGAAATTGTGTGTCAACTGGACTCTGGACAACTTAGAGACGGAAGAAAAATCACGCACGCCAATCGAAGCACATTGCGAAGCTCACTTTATAGAGAACTTACAAACAGCATCGGATGGCAGGTTGATAGTAAAACTCCCATTTTTCGAACACTCTTCAGCCCTGGGGGATCTTTGGAAACTGCAACGAAAAGATTCCTGGCATTAGAGCGACGGATTTCACCAGACACCTGGCTATGTGGCTATGTGGAATTCATGAATGAATATGAAGGACTTGGACACATGAAGATGGTCCCAGCAACTCAAGTGCCGGAGAGACACTACTTCATACCACACCACTGTGTACTCAAACCTGAGAGCACCAGCACAAAGTTACGGGTCGTGTTTGATGCATCATGTAAATCAACAAGCGGAAAGTCTCTAAACGACATTCTGCATGCCGGACCCACAGTTCAGAGTGAACTTATGTCCATTCTACTACGTTTTCGTATACATAAGTACGTATTCACAGCGGACATCGAGAAAATGTACCGACAAGTGTGGATAAATCCCGACGATCAATTTCATCAGATGATAGTCTGGAGAAACAATCCATCTGAAGATATCAGGATATCTGATATCGCTTAAAAATGGTCACATATGGAACCACATCTGCTCCATTCCTGGCAACGAAATGTCTGGATCATTTGGCAACTCGGAGCCAATACAGATTACCTATTGGATCTGCTGCATTGAAGAACGATTTCTATGTGGACGACTGTCTCACTGGCGCGGATACCATTCAGGAAGCGATACAAGTTCAACAAGAACTTAATAAAATATTGCTACCGTTCGGCCCTAAACTTCGCAAATGGTGCTCCAACAACGACCAGCTATTGCAAGGAATCCCTAAAGAGGACGGTGTCAACGACGTCAAACTAGGTGAAACCTTAGAGCAATACAGCGTGAAAACGCTGGGTCTCATTTGGATGCCAAAACAAGACCAACTGCGAGGACGAACCACAAAAGGCCAAGCAACACGCATCACCAAAAGGGTCGTGTGCTCAGAATTGGCCCAAATCTTTGACCCACTGGGTCTCTTTGCCCCAGTGATAGTCAAGGCAAAAATATTTATGCAACAGCTGTGGGAGATTAAACTCGATTGGGACGATGAACTGCCATTACAACTCCAAAACGAATGGATGGAGTACCGGGAGGACCTACAATCATTAAACTCAATGGAGATTCCCCGGCACGTATATGATGGAAAAGTGCCAACCCAGGATCTACATACCTTTGTAGACGAATCGGAACGAGCCTATGGCGCGGCAGTGTACGTACGAGCCACCTACAAAAACAATCAGGTCTCTGTACGACTATTATGCTCAAAGTCTCGAGTAGCACCCACCGCCAAACAATTCCTACCACGTCTAGAACTGTGCGCTGCAGTTTTAGATGCCGAACTCACCAATCGAGTTAGAAGGGATCTCCATATGAATCTTGACACAGTATCAGGAAGCTTCTGGACTGATTCCACCGTTGTACTGTCCTGGATTAACGCATCGGCGTCCACATACCACACCTTCGTGGAAAATCGAATCGCCAAAATCCAGGCATTGACTAACCAATTACAATGGCGTCATGTTTCATCAGCCAACAACGCAGCAGATGTCCTTTCAAGAGGAATCCTAGCAAGCAAGCTAAGGGATCATAGTCTATGGCTATATACAAAACCACCCATCATTGAGCCCAGCAATCTCGAGAGAAAGGCTAAGCATGTCAGCTTGCCAATCGCATCTAGCTCTCTCGGAGAAGAGTTGTGTGTGCAGACATAGCAACTCGTTCACTATGATCCTACGAACGATTCAACAAGTTGAGTTCACAGCGGATTTAAAACAGTTAAAACGCTATAAAACAGTGGATAAAAAGAGTTCGATCATTTCGTTATCTCCCTTACTAGGAGATGATGAGCTCATCCGAGTTGGCGGAAGACTCGAAGAAGCTCAAATTCCGTTCAAAGCAAAGCATCCAATCCTGCTAACGTACAACGACCCAATAGTCAAAATGATTATGCGAGAGCTTCATGAGGAAAATCTGCATTGCGGTGCCCAAGCATTAAGGGCGATCGCAAGACAACAATATTGGATTATCAACGACAAGACGATGGCTAGAAGCATCATACATAGCTGTATTAGATGCACCAGAGCCAGACCAAAGCTGATGCACCAGATCATGGGCAATCTTCCAGCACAAAGAGTCACGCAAGCACGCCCATTCCTTAATGCAGGCGTTGACTACTGTGGACCAATTATGATCCACCATAAAATCTGAGGAAAACGGCCAGATAAGGCATACATTGCCGTATTCTGCTGCTTTTCCACAAAGGCTGTACATCTGGAGTTAGTAAGTGGCTTAACCACAGATGCATTCTTGGCAGCACTCCGGCGATTCCTTAGCAGACACGGGAAGTGTCAGACTATTCATTACGACAACGCAACGAATTTCGTCGGCGCAAATAACAAGCTAAAGGAATTGAAAGAAGCAATATTTAGCGAAAAGGCATATGCACTGATCACAAATCATTGCAACAAAAAACAAGTGGATTTTAAATTCATTCCTCCTCGGGCCCATCGTTTGGCGGCCTCTTGGAAGCTGCGGTAAAATCAGTGAAAAGGCTGTAAATTACAACCACAGATACAGCATCCTTGACGTTTGAGGAGCTGAACACAGTCATAATCGAAATTGAAGCAATTCTCAACTCCCATTGCAACAAAAAACAAGTGGATTTAAATTCATTCCTCCTCGGGCCCCATCGTTTGGCGGCCTCTGGGAAGCTGCGGTAAAATCAGCGAAAAGGCTGTAAATTACAACCACAGATACAGCATCCTTGACGTTTGAGGAGCTGAACACAGTCATAATCGAAATTGAAGGAATTCTCAACTCCCGACCCATAACTCCAATGTCAAATGATCCAACGGATACAAGTGCGCTTACTCCAGCGCATTTCCTGATTGGTGAACCTTTGACCGCAGCACCTGACGTCAACACTGATTTTGGTGAAGGAAGACAACCTTCCAGTAATGAAGTGGCCAATGGGTCGCATCATCAAAACTTATCCTGGGTAAGACAACCATGTACGAGTGGTTGATGTCAAAACATCGTCCGGCGTATACAAACGCCCCATCAGTCGTCTCGCCCCATTATTCTCAGAAGAGGTAGCAACAAAACGCTCCAAAAATGCTATTCAAGACATTGCGGAAATAGAGGAGCCACCGACACAGCGAAAAAGGTTATCATTACCTACACTAACATCATCATTGTTAGTGTTACTTCTCATGCTGCCATTAGCATTTTCACAATCAAAAATCAAAATCACACAAATGAACTGATCCAAATTCGGCAAAATTTGTGGTGGCGGAAAGGGACAGGGCGAAATTTTGAAATACACTTGTAGCAGTGTGATATCACATGAGTCTGGAAACAAAATTGGGTTGCTCTAGGTCTTATAGTCTCCGAGATCTAGGCGCTCATCGGGACGAACAGACGGACGGAAGTCAAAAGCCAACAATCGATTGTCCTAAGTTTCTTTTCAAAAATGGGAGGTGGATATTTGGTCTGGTACAAGTATCTCTAGAACAAGCTAGCTCTAAAGAAATAGAAAGAGAGCTGTCATGGAAAAAAATCATGCAAGACTGTTCGAGCTCTCCATCTACTCCATGTGTCGCCAAGGCCCTATCTTATGTGCATAGGAGACGGCGATAAAAGTTTGGAAATCGGTTAACGTTTTACCCCCCTCATCGTCATCATATGTTCAATTCACGGGCCTATACTCGGTCAGGTAAATCTCTGTTGCGCTGGCACTCACGTAATGTACTCTCGTACACTAGAGTGGCCCGAAAGTACTAAATTTTTTAAACATCAATCAGCCCTGTGATAGAAAGATACCTTAAAATATTAGAAAACGAGGGAAAAAAGAAATTTGATATCGGTTAACGTGAATTTAACATATACCAATTTTATGGTTAGGTTAGGTACCGTGTTTTGAGTAGCCCGACGCAATGAAAAACCAAATAGCTCTTCTCGTTTTTTGTCTGTCAACACAGTCTGTCATCTCTGTCGAAAATTCCCTGTGATTTCCCTATCTTTTATTTTTTTGGTTATCTTTTAAGAACGAGGCGAATAAAATCGCAACACTTACTTATCCAACTTTTATTATCAGAACAAAAAATTTAATATCTTGACACATGTATCAGTATTAGTTATTACATTAACAATCAATAATCTAATGACCATTCATTCTCAGCAATAAAAGAGTCAACAACCTCTTTCATTGAAAAATTTGGTATTAGCTGATCCTGAGTCAGTTTTACTCGTGTGACAGGATCAAAGTGTCCAACTCGCTGCAAATGCTCTTCAATGTCTTTACGCTCATATGTTATCCCCGATGGAGTTATCACAGGATCCGTTAGTATTTCGAAACTTATTTTCCCACATAGAAAGTCTGGAACATCACGTTTCTAAAAAAAAGTATATGTTAATAATAGAAGCTGCGATAATAATATAACAGAAACTTTAAATTTTACTTTTTAAATTCTAAATCATCGCAGTCTAACTAACAGAAATATACTACATAATCAAGGTTAGAATAGAGAAGGTCACAATCGTGGAGCCTTGTTTTGATACAAGATACAAGTTTATAGTACTCACGTCTATTGATAAGACGTCAAACGTAAATTAAATTAACTAAAAAACTGTATCGTGAAGTTTTAAAATGAGTATAAATCTGCACTTAACAGTTCTGTTTCTACTGTAATAATCGTGTGTGAAGATTCAAATGTCTGAAACCAATGCATTTACCAATGGCTACGTAACCTACCCTTCGACGTTCATCAACTTTTGAGTAGATATTGTTGAGCTCTTTTATATGATCATCCTGAAATAATAAGATATACAACATATTTTAAAGTATTTTATTTAATTATGGGGGGGGGGGTTTGGCTGTCACGGCATGAAAGTGTCATAGGAAAAATTGTTCGGGCTCGACGTCGACAAAGGCAGCGACGTCGACGTCAGCACGAAATTCTGTCCAGCTTCAACTGCTGCAGATCGAAGAGGACACATAAGAAAGAGAAGCAGATATCCACAGATTTCCCTCTCTCTCATATTTTTAGTTTTCTCTACCTGCATTCGACCCTAACTCTTCTACTCTCGCTCATTTCCTCTCCTCAAAGGGATGATGGGAGAAACCGATTAATTGGTGCAATCTTTTGTTGCGAGAGCCTGTGATTTTTTGTTGTTGTGCGTCTATTTAGATGTTTATTCCTTTTAAAAGTAGTTTTTCAATGTTTTTAAAGTCAAGTAAGTGGATTCAGTGATTACAGTGTGCGTTGTTAGTTAAACTCAATTGTTACATGGGTTTCGCTAGAAGAAATATGTCTAGATTTTAGAACATTCTAGCCGCGTGGTTAACCGATTGTGTCGCTGCGCGTGTTTGCGGATTTGCGGCAAAAAATGTTTAAAATGCCCCGCAAAACTATTTCATTTCAGGCGCATTGGTGCTTATTAACCCGATCGGTTGAGGAAGGCACTACAGATAATTTAAAATATTTTAATCAACAAAAAATTTAGAAATCGGTGTAAAATATATATATTTACTTTTATTTGAAAAAAATGTTTGGGTGGCTTTTTCATATTTACTTATCCGTGAAATTCCTTTTAATTTCATGAGAAGTTTAACAGGTGATTTCACCTGATTTCACGGTGATGGTAGCGCCTCTTTTTTCACATAACTCTAGTATCTTACGTCTGGTTGTAAAGAACTTTGCTATTAGCAGTTAGATTTGCAATTAGCAGTTGGGGCCGCAACCTTCAAAAAGGTATATTTTGTTCATTTTTTTCATTTTTTTGGGTTTGGTTAACGAATTTTACCTTCAAAGTTTCTCCACAGATTTTAATGAACAATACCTTAAACGACGCCTAATTAATGCACCTATACACGAAAAAATAGAGGTCACAGGATATAATATATAATATATTTTTTCGACTTTTCCTGAGTTTTTAAAGTCAAAATTTCGTTAAAAATACCCCAAAAAAATTATCATTTTAGCATTTCAATGCTTTATATTTCCCAGACGGTAAGCTAAAATCACAAAGTGTGTGGGCTTATCTTGTAGCTGTTTTAATTATATTTTCGAAATAGCAAAGTTCTTTACAAGCAGACGTAGATACTAGAGTTTTGTGAAAAAAAGAAGCGCTACATCTGAAAAAAGCTTTACAAAACCAGAATACAAAAATTGTTCAAATAAAAGTTCTGCCATAGAAAAAAAAAACCATAATTCTAAAAAAAAAAATTTTAAGTCCCATATCTATCAGAAAAAGTCGGTTTGGATCCTTGAGGAAAAGAAAAGTTGGATTTTGTCGAGTAGTGTTATATCACATCACGTTATCAGCCATACTTCAGGTTTCGTACACTTTTGCTATTTGGCAACTAAAACGAGAAGGAACGTGTGAGTCGCTTCTGGGGACGCGTCTCTACTTATACCCGTACTCAGTCAGGATATACATTTTTGAGCTAATGATTTTTTAGAATTTCAGAAAAAACGAGAAGGAACGTGCGAGTCGTTTCTTGGGACGCGACTCTACTTATACCCGTACTCAGTCAGTATATACATTTTTGATCTTATGATTTTTAAGAATTTTAGAAAAAAAAAAAAATTTTACATATTACATTTTTTTTGCTACATCTGATATATACATCTACAAATACGTAAAGATACGATAAAACTAAAAACGCATTATCGTAGAGAATACCCATATCTACCAGACTGCCGAATCTGAATCAGATCGGATCATAATTATAGCCAGAATGACGAAATTAATTTTCAGTTGCTTCCCCTGTCCCCCCTCCGGCAAACGACAACGCAACTCATTTTCCTTCTAGCTCGCACACTCTGCCGCGTTCAGTGCGCGAGCAACCCCTAGCGGAGGAGATGTAGAATCTAAATGGAACATGTACAACGAAAAAGAGTCTTTTGTGTTTGTATGCGTGTTTGTGTGTGGTTCCGCCTATGGAAACAGATCATTCGCCTTTTTTAATGGTATGTTTGCAGTTTGACTATTGGAGCTTAAAATGAGTCGTGAAGTACAGAACAAAAATGTGCGCGTATTTTTTTAATTTAATTCAACAACTAATAAGTCAATATGCAACGTTTGTGGTTTGAAACTGACCGGCAAGCACATAACAAATTTGAGACGGCATTTGAAGGCAAAAAATGCTGAAACATATGAATATTTGGACTGCAGCATCACCAACGAGTAACCAAAAAAATAAATAAATAAAAATAACATACGAAACATACGATTTTCCAGAAATTATTGGGGCATAAACACGAACAAAACTAAAACACTTTTCACTGACACTTTTTTTGCTCTGCTCATCTACAGACACTTTTTCTGAGAGCGCTTGATCAAATGTGCCTCTTTAAGTTGTTATGGTAAGACACGAGCGTGTCTCGGCTCAACCCGAAGACACGAAAAAGATAACACAAGCGAAGACACCAAAAGTGTTCTGCTCAGAGCGGGAGCGAATGTCCGTGGTGTTTTTCTTTTTTTTCAGAGACCAGACCGCAATGGAAAAAAGTTTTGACAGTTATTTGCGAGCTATGGATAAAACTAAAATCGGAAGTACGCAGTATCGTATATCTACCAGATTGCCGAATCTGAATGAGATCGGATTATATTTATAGCCAGAATGAAGAAAGTTAATTTTCAGTTGCTTCCCCCGCCTCATTCAGAAAGAGACCCGCTACTCATTCTCTTTCTCGCTCTCACACTCAAGATGTAGAATCTAAATGGTATATAATCTCAACCTACATGTTAGATGTAGAATATACATTGTAGATGTAGCAAAAAAAAGGTAATATGTAAAATTTTTTGTTTGTTTTTTTTTCAGAGGTAGTGCTTCTATTTTTCACATAACTTAAGTATTTTATATCTGGTTGCATAAAACTTTGCAGTTCTGAAAAGCTGACAATGCAGCTATAAATCGGACTCTTATTTTAGAATTAAAAAAAAATTTTACATATATCAACATCTACATATACTATGTATATTCTAAATCTAACATGTAGATTGTACATCTACATGTTAGATGTAGAATAAACATTGTATATGTAGATGTAGATAGCAGATGTAGCAAAAAAATTAAAAATTTTTTTTTTTTTCTAAAATTCTTAAAAATCATAAGCTGTATATACTGACTGAGTACGGGTATAAGTAGAGTCGTGTCAACAGAAACGACTCACACGTTCCTTCTCGTTGAATTTAGGGACAGACGAAATCTGTTTCATGTCGCTTATTGATATCGATATTTTTCGGTCAATCGGAAATTTTCTATTGGTTGTTGTTTTGTTATATTTGGGTGCATAAAATTTTTAGCTTTGTTTAGAAATTAATGTATTAATTATATAAAGATATATGAAAATAAATTTCCAATTAAATAAATATAAATTTATAACATCAGAAAATATATTTATAGTTTTTTCCGCGAAATTAAATTTGTATTTATGTGCCATATGCACATTTTTGAAATCTCAAGCTTATTAATAACGGTTTTGAAATCGTAAGAATCATACGAATACGAAAACCGGAGCACGCGGTAAGACTAGGGCAGATCAAGCTAGCAGCGGTCATGGTGGACACCCACCGCACACTGGGCAAAACAGCTAATCTAGCGGAATTAAAGTTATACCTTCTAAAATAATCGAGCTACATTTTTATACCCGTACTCAAAAAAGAGTTAAGAGGTATATTGCATTTGTGGTAAAAGTGGATGTGTGCAACGAAGGGGAGGAAACGTTCCCGACCCCATAAAGTATATATATTCAGCATCAATAGCCGAGTCGATATAGCCATGTCCGTCTGTCCGTCCGTCCGTCTGTCCGTCTTGATGAGCGCTTAGATCTCAGAGACTAAAAGAGCTAGAGCAACCAAATTTTGTTTCCAGACTCATGTGATATCACACTGCTACACGTGTATTTCAAAATTTCACCCCGCCCCCTTCCGAACCCACAAAGGACGGACCTGTGACAGGCCCAATTTTAAAGATACGATAAAACCATAGCTTGCCAAAAACGGTCAACACTTTCAGGGTGTCTGAAAAAACGTATCATTTACGGACACATTGCGAATCTAACCAGAAAAGACACGATCAGATCTGTGTTTGCTCCTTTCGCTCAAGCAAAAGCCAATTCTGTTTTGTTACTGTTTTTCCCTGAGCAACGACGCCACGAGCGAACGAAAAAGAGTCTTTTGTGTTTGTATGCGTGTTTGTGTGTGGTTCCGCCTATGGAAACAGATCATTCGCCTTTTTTAATGGTATGTTTGCAGTTTGACTATTGGAGCTTAAAATGAGTCGTGAAGTACAGAACAAAAATGTGCGCGTATTTTTTTAATTTAATTCAACAACTAATAAGTCAATATGCAACGTTTGTGGTTTGAAACTGACCGGCAAGCACATAACCAATTTGAGACGGCATTTGAAGGCAAAAAATGCTGAAACATATGAATATTTGGACTGCAGCATCACCAACGAGTAACCAAAAAAATAAATAAATAAAAATAACATACGAAACATACGATTTTCCAGAAATTATTGGGGCATAAACACGAACAAAACTAAAACACTTTTCACTGACACTTTTTTTGCTCTGCTCATCTACAGACACTTTTTCTGAGAGCGCTTGATCAAATGTGCCTCTTTAAGTTGTTATGGTAAGACACGAGCGTGTCTCGGCTCAACCCGAAGACACGAAAAAGATAACACAAGCGAAGACACCAAAAGTGTTCTGCTCAGAGCGGGAGCGAATGTCCGTGGTGTTTTTTTCTTTTTTTCAGAGACCAGACCGCAATGGAAAAAAGTTTTGACAGTTATTTGCGAGCTATGGATAAAACTAAAATCGGAAGTACGCAGTATCGTATATCAACCAGATTGCCGAATCTGAATGAGATCGGATTATATTTATAGCCAGAATGAAGAAAGTTAATTTTCAGTTGCTTCCCCCGCCTCATTCAGAAAGAGACCCGCTACTCATTCTCTTTCTCGCTCTCACACTCAAGATGTAGAATCTAAATGGTATATAATCTCAACCTACATGTTAGATGTAGAATATACATTGTAGATGTAGCAAAAAAAAGGTAATATGTAAAATTTTTTGTTTGTTTTTTTTTCAGAGGTAGTGCTTCTATTTTTCACATAACTTAAGTATTTTATATCTGGTTGCATAAAACTTTGCAGTTCTGAAAAGCTGACAATGCAGCTATAAATCGGACTCTTATTTTAGAATTAAAAAAAAATTTTACATATATCAACATCTACATATACTATGTATATTCTAAATCTAACATGTAGATTGTACATGTACCATTTGGATTCTTCATCTCCTTTGCTAGGGGTTGCTCGCGCACTGAACGCGGCAGAGTGTGCGAGCGAGAAAGAGAATGAATAGCGTGTCTCTGGCTGGGGAGGCGGGGAAAGCAAGTGAAAAAGAATTTCTTCTTTCTGGCTATAATTATGATCCGATCTGATTCAGATTCGGCAATCAGGTAGATATGGTCATTTTCTACGATACTGCGTTTTTAGTTTTATCGTATCTTTAAAATTGTGCCTGCCACAGATTTTCGTCCTTTGTGGGGGCGGAAGGAGGCGGGGCGAAATTTTGAAATACACGTGTAGCAGTGTGATATCACATGAGTCTGGAAACCAAATTTGGTTTCTCTAGCTCTTATAGTCTCTGAGATCCAGGCGCTCATCGAGACGGACAGACGGACGGACGGACGGACAGATGGACGGACGGACAGACGGACACGGCTATATCGACTCGGCTATTGATGCTGATCAAGAATATATATACTTTATGGGGTCGGCAACTTTTCCTTCTCTGCGTTGCACACATCACCTTTTACCACAAATACAATATAACCCTTAACTCTTTTTTGAGTACGGGTATAAAAAGTGGGTTTGGTTCCTTGAGAAAAATTCGTGTCGGGTAGTGTTATTACTTTATTATAGATTATAAAGTATCAAAAGTATATATAAAGTATAAATTATACAAAAAAAAAAAAAAACATTTTGGTTTTATTTTTGTCGTTGTTCTATTTCGCGTCTTTTTCGGAAAATTGCCTAAATTAATAAGGACCTTTAGGATTTTGAGAGTAAGCACACTTCTTTCAGAGAGGAGACATGTAAACCTAATTGATATTACAGTGAGTGTTGGTTAGTGATCATGTTTTGTAACAATAAAAACTGTTGTACCAAACAGTGCCATTATTTCTGACGCAACATATATAGTTGTCGAAGGTAAAAATTAGTAACCAAAAAACTATCAAGCTAAATTAAATACCTGTCAACGATTAATGCAGGGGTGACAATTCATGCGTTACTAATTTTATCTGTTACTTACACATTCTTGTTCAATTTCTTGTTGCTTTTCTTTAAGCTGCTCTTCGTGCAAGTTTTCATTTAGTTTTAGATTGGATAAACGATTTTCCATGTCATCCTTAATTAATCTGAAAAATAATTATATAATATGTACAACATGCGGTAGCCGCGACTCTACTTTTATACCCATACACAGTATATACATACATATATGACCTTATTTTTTGTCGAAATTTTAAATATTTCATCAGTTTAAATTTTTTAGCTACATCTGTCATCTACAGCTCCAATGTATATTCTACATCTCATCCGCCAAAGGTCTCCCACTGCACGTACGGATTGTCGGTGCGAGAGAGAGAGAGAGAGAGAGAATGAATAGCGCTGCACCGCTGCAATGGGGTGGGTTAGCACCTGAAAATTAGAGTCTTCATTCTGGCTATAATAATGATATGATCTGATCGGTTCTGCAGATATGGTCATTCTCTACGATACTGCGTTTTATGTCTTCTCGTATCTTCAAAATTGTGGACGTAAAAGTGTTCGACTTTGTAAAGGCGGAATGGGTCATGGCAAAATTTTGAAATACACTTGTAACAATGTGATATCATAAGAGTCTGGAAACTAAAAATTTGGTTCCTCAAGATCTTATAGTCTCTGAGAACTAGGCAACAATTGGTTAGTGTTATACACGTGTTCGTGAGCGGCATCGAAGTAGCAGCGCAAAGCTGATAATCGCTTAATCTTATATAAACAGATCATTATATTCCCTTCCTACTTTTGTATAGACCAGAGATGGCACGCCGTGGCTCTTTCAGCTCCCGCGGCTCTTTCCAAAATGTTTTTCGGGAGGCACCAGCAAGTCGGCTCAGACGGTCGTCGCTCGCGTTCAGCGATCCGTGAATTTTTACAAAAACAATGCCACAGAAATTTGGCGTCAAAGAGACGCCTAAAATGCTTCGAAGGCGCGATCTCGAGATTGCAACAACACATCATGTGTCTTGGGCTACGCACATGAAAATCAGAGCAACAACAAAGTGTATTCACTTTGCTCGCCCATTCTGTCTGGCTCATGACTGCGACGCGTCGCGACGGTGTTTGTTTTTTTTGTTTTTTCTGTCTGGCTCTTTCCGTTAGTTTCCGTGCCCATCACTGGTATAGACCAAAAGACAGAGCATGCTCTCTCTATGCGGAAGTCATCGGCTACGATACCCATTCTAATGCTTAACTATCATTACGTATGGAACATATTGTATAGAGTACATAAATCATAAGCTCACATATGTGTATACTGACCGAGTACTGGGTATAAAAGCTCACAACGAGACCCTTTTTTTATCTGAGCAGTTATTTGCAGAAAAGACCTAACGAATTATTTTAGTCCAGATCGGACCACTGTTGAAAAACTCTTTGAAAATAGCCTGTGAGATCATTTTGGAACAGTTTTAACCTTTTACAGTTTTTTATAGCTCTTAACTGCTTCGATTACATACTGTGTGTGCTTTAAATACGTCTCAACAAAAAAAATTCGGGGGTGCCACAGAAATCACTTCCGCTGGAAAATCACTTCAATTCCATTCCGCCGTGCCACACACCGATTTTTCAGCGGAATCAAAATCGCTCACAATTTATCCAGCGATTTGATTAAATACACCCTTAAAACACACCCAAAACAATTCGAATCTTAATTTCCCATAAAGGTTGTTCAATTGGTGATTAACCCTCATCCAAATAATATATACATGTTAAGTTAATAAAATAAGCATAATAGTAAATCACTATCCAATCCGCTGACTGAATTTTCACTTAACGATTCCGCGCTCAATACGCTCCAGTCCGAGGTAGATCATTGCAGTAAAACTTTCTTTACGTCAAACGTGTGCATACTTTTTGTGCAAATTGTGAAAACATTTGTAGTCATTTGTAGTACTACCAGGTGGAATCGTTTCAAAATGCCAAAACAGAACTAACAAACCATTTCTACACATTATTGCCATTGCATTTATGTCAAATACCCCTGTTCGGCTAAGTGCAGACCCATGGCAGCACAAATAGAATCATAGCGATCATTATACCTAAAAATGGTAGTTGCAATGAACTAAATTAACAGTAGTTTGATAAGACAATCACAAAAACCACATACGTATCGGCTGAACGCGAAAACGAGTCCGATGCGCATCTGAGAAGCCTGCGCTGCAAGGTTTGTATTATAATATGTTGCCTCCGTAGTTCTTCGATGGCCAACAGTCTCGGTAAAAGCATTTTAATTAAGTTTACCGTAAAATTCAGATGTCTGTTCTTTTTGAACAGCTGATTGCTGCCATGCACGTAGAGTTGCCAGACAACTGCTAGAGTTGCCGAGTACATTGTTTTGTTTGACTCGCACAATATGGGATGATTTTTTGCTTTCAAATTATAAAAGTACAGCTTTGAAAAATCCATTATTTCATATCATAAAAGAATAAAATAAAAACCAATTGTTTTGATATGATCAAATCAATAAAACTGCAAAATGAACCCTATTCGAATTAAATCTTGAAAGGTGTCAAACCCTAGCCTTAGTTCGAATTTTGTTTGTGACAATGCTAAGAAAAATGAGATCGCTCGGAATTCTGTGGCACGGCCGGGAAATCCTCTGCGCGGTTTCCCATGTCACTATTGAATTCTGTGGCACTCCTGATAGATAATAAAATTCAAACCGATTTAAATAACATTGAAGTTCAATCTCTTCTTGAATTCGTTTTTCTTCCAAGACATTCCAGCGTTTTTTGCGAGCAAGTCGTAATTGTAATGTTATATCATCACCAAAGTTTTGTCTTTGTTCCTTTGACAAATCATAAGCTAAAAATAAAAATTATTCTTATAAAAAAATTTTTTGATTAATTAACTAATACTAACCGCGTTGCAGATGCTTTATTGCTTCGTCATAGCTGTCTATCTCAATAAGGCCTTGCCCCAAGAAAAAGTGTCCTTTTAGCAAGTTTGCGTCGATATCCAAAGCTCGTCGACAATCTTGACAGCACAGCTCCCATCGTTTTAGCTTAAGATTGCAGAGCGCCCGATTTGTGAAAAAAGTTGCATTTGTAGGGTTTTTTATCTTTAAATAAAATGAAAACCACTTGTTAATATCCCGGACTAATCTAACAACCCACATAATATTGTACTTGAAGCCAAGAACTTCGCAGTTGAATTTATATTTTTGTGAAATCAACCCTGATTGCATTTCATTTCCGTTTTGAGTGAATCACAGGAGGCACCTACATTTCGAGCTCTAGTTCTTATAATATCTGAGATCTAAGCGATCAATATAAATAAACTGACATGCATTGCATGAGATACTAATGATAAATATATGAAGACATGTTGGAGGTCGCGTCTAAGTTGGTCACTGTTTTGCTGCCTGCTACTCCTGCTATATAAAATATGTTCCCGTGGGAATTTGACTTCAATCATTTTCCTTTTTATACCCGTACTCAAAAAAGAGTTAAGGGGTATATTAGATTTGTGGTAAAAGTGGATGTGTGTAATGCAGAGAAGGAAACGTTTCCGACCCCATAAAGTATATATATTCTTGATCAGCATCAATAGCCGAGTCGATATAGCCATGTCTGTCTGTCCGTCTGTCTGTCTGTCTGTCTGTCTGTCTGTCTGTCTGTCTGTCTGTCTGTCTGTCTGTCTGTCTGTCTGTCTGTCTCGATGAGCGCCTAGATCTCAGAGACTATAAGAGCTAGGGCAACCAAATTTGGTTTCCAGACTCATGTGATATCCCACTGCAACAAGTGTATTTCAAAATTTCGCCCCCATTTTTCATTTTTAATACACTTTTAGCAGTGTGATATCACAGAAGCAACTCCCTACGTTCCTTTTCGTTTAACCTGCTTTTAATTATGCCAAAGGGAGGTACATGCACATGTTTATATAGGGTGCGTGTCATAGTGCCCAGTGTTATAACGTCTGGGAGTGTCATAACAAAGTGCACTCGAAATGGAATCTGTCGTTCCTTATTGTTATAAAATAAGCATTTAATATTTATTAGTTTCGGGCGTTATATTGTCAGAAGGCCCATGGACACTCAGTTCAGCAGTTAACAGCTGCTGGCTAAGTCTCCGAGGCGCAAGAAGACTACTCCGCGGGACTGGCAAGTGCCGACTGCCTCATGTCCGCCGGCTTCCGAAAAACTTAGTCCGACCACTCCCTTAGTGCAGCAGTGGATTACGTTTGCTACTCCACGGGCAACGATCTCTGCTGGTGATGCAGATTCGGGAGCCGAATGCGTCACTTCGGAGAGTATGCCGGTAGACATGTCTGTATCGTCCGTATCCGTCGAGTCCGCACCCAACTCCTTGACTATCCCATCAGTTTCGCTCCCACCAGCTAATAGATGTCCAGATGTACAATAGACCCCCGGATACTGCCATCACACCAAAATCTCTGGTGGGAGTCCCACCAAAGCGACAAGTTTTTGTCTCGCGGCTAGCCCTTGACCTCACATCCAATTATGTAACCGCTTTTATACAAAGCAAAATAAAAACTGTCGGCTTAAAGGTGGATAAATTTAACTTTTCATACGCCAGGGAGATGTCTTCCTTCAAGATAAGCGTCACCCCAACTCAATTTGACAACATTTGTTCCGCCAAGTTTTGGCCGGAGTATTTGGTCGTCAAAGAGTTTAAGGCTAAGAAAAAGAATAGGCCCCCCATAACTCTTCCTAGTAGTCAGACCAGTGCACCATCTTTACCCTCATCTTCCACCTCAACTTCTACCCATCCAGAAAACTAACTTCCTCTCTTTTAGTTACCTACCAGAATGCTAGAGGCTTGCGTAGTAAGCTCAGCACTCGTTTTCTTGAGTCTCGCATTCTCGTCCCATGTTATTGTGTTTGCCGAGACCTGGTTAAAGCCAGACATCCTTAGTTCCGAAGTTTTGGCATGTGCCCATGTCACGATATGACTTTATCGACGGCTTGCTAGACCTATCCCTGTCTCAAGTCAACCATGTGAAAAATTCCTTGGGTCGATTGCTTGATCTGTGCTTTGTTTCGGATCCGACAATAGCGTTGCTAACCCGAGCCCTTCCGCTCACTATACCTGAAGACTCCTACCATCCTACATTCGAAGTATTGGTCAATATTGGGCCTACTGTACTGGATCGAAAGGGTAGGCTATCTGAACGTGTCCGCTGCTTTCGTAAAGCCGAGTTTACGAAGCTTAATAACCTCATTAGGGATTTTGATTGGTCCGCTCTGTACTTGTGCACTGACGTTATGAAAGGCACAAACATTTTTTACAATGTACTTGACACATTTTTTTATTCTTGTGTCCCACTTTCTTGTCCGGTTAGATCTGGAAAGCCTCCTTGGCTGACCAAAGCGTTATCCTGTCTAAAAAACTTTATTAAAAATTTCGAGAAGTTGGTTCTCTTCTCTTTCTCACTATGTAATAGCTCGGTCAAATTTTTCGGTTCTTAACGCTCAATGCTATAAAAATTACCTATCTCGATGCAGGATAGGATTTTCACAGGACCCTAAACAGTTTTACAGCTTCGTAAAAAGTAAGCGTAGAACGTCCGCACATCCATCATTTCTCAATATGTCAGCAAACAATGATCAGGAAATTGCCGATCTTTTTGCCAAATTTTACCAAACAACCTATTCTTATGAAAGCTACTCTGGTCAGCCGTATCCATACAGTTTACCAAGGTCGAATGGCATTTTCAGCCCTTTGTTAAATGAAAACTCACTGCTTCATGATCTTCGACTAGTTAAGCCAGGTCCCGACGGAGTTCCCGGCTGTGTACTTAGGTACTGTGCCGACGCTCTGTGTGGACTATTGACATTATCCATTAACTCTTCATGCTTCCCCCAATCAGGAAGAAATCTTTTATTATTCCGCTCCATAAGAAAGGTAGCAAGTCTGATGCTAATAATTATAGAGGTATATCTAAGTTATTCGCTATTCCTCAAATGTTTGAAAAAATTTTAACTCCGCACTTGCAACATCTCTGCAAATCACTTATATCTACGTCTCAGCACGGATTTATAAGGCAACGATCAACAACCACAAATTTAGTAGTTTACCTCTTTTATCATTAAAGGCTTTCAAGGTAACTTTCAGACGGATGTCATGTACACTGATTTCAGTAAAGCATTCGACTCTCTCTCTCTATCCTCGCACAAAAACTTGACCTTTTAGGGTTTCCGCCTAATCTTTTGAGATGGCTACCTAGCTACCTTCGTTCTAGGTCTCAAAGAGTCCTCTTCAGAAACTCCTTCTCTTCACCTGTTAAGGTTACTTCTCGAGTACCACAGGGCAGCCATCTGGGCTCCCTACTATTCACACTCTTTATTAATGATCTGCCTTCAGTATTAACAAACTCTTGAGTACTTATGTATGCGGATGATGTTAAACTCTGTGTCCAGTATAAGGACATTTCATTTCACTCTCGCTTGCAATCCGATCTCAATAACTTTCAATCATGGTGTTGTGCAAATATGTTACACCTAAATGCCTCGAAATGCAAAGTAATCACATTTCATCGCTTCCACCCCCTTTTGGCTCCTTATAGCCTCTGCGGTGGTTCTCTTGAGAGAATTACCTTGGTTGATGATCTTGGTGTTAAATTATACCCAAAGTTAAGGTTTTCTGAACACATTTCTACCATGGTAAATAAGGCCATGGGTGTGCTTGGGTTTATAAAGAGGTGGTCAAAGGAATTTGACGACCCCTATATAACGAAGACTCTCTATATCTCGCTTGTTCGTCCGATTTTTGAGTGCGACTCTTGTGTAAACTGGGATGCAGGTGTGAGACTGCCATCTTACCCTCGTAGATTGCTTTTAATAAACCTTCCAACCTTAGTTAGTCGTAGAAAAATGCTTGGTGTGATTTTTATGCACAACCTGATCAAGGGTGACGTAGATAGCCCTGACTTGTTGAGCCGCATAAACTTTACGATCTTTACGATCCGTATCTTTCCTGCATGCTCGCGATCGGTTCGGTAACACGCGTCGCGCGTCATGCGGCAGTGCCCCTCGGTCGTTTTTGCGGGAGTTCCGCGCGTAACAGGCTTCGGCCTGGTGCGCATGGGCCACTTGATGGTGCAGTCACTTCATATCAACGTCCAGACAAAGAAAAAGACACTAACGCAAAAAACAAAACAAAAATTCATTTCGATACTTTGCAAAAATTCGTTCTGAAGGAATTCGTGTTAGCCATATGACATTAGACTTTGCTAACTGACTAGCTGGAAAAATAAAGATGGCCTTATGGGAAATGTCTGCAGTCAGAGCCAGAGAACTATATGCGTCAAGCTTGCTGTCCAGTTGAGCTGGGAGCAGCGCTGCGTTAAAGTTTATCTAAATGTTTACTTTGCGGATACAATTTTGCTGGCTTGGTGTCTGTGTTTTGCTGGCTTGGTGTCTGTGTTCTGCTGGTAAACATCATTGTGTGTCAAGTAGTCCCTCAGTTGATCTACTAAAAGCCATTGACGTGTCTAGAGACGGCTACGAACAATAATGTTGAATTTTGTCTCCTGTGCTATCCCTCTCTACGCAGGCGCTGTCAATCAAATATACGAACGACAGGGAAAACATAAGTTCGCATAGCACATGTCATCGCATGTTTCTATGGCTGATTAGACTTGAAAGAATGAACAATAGCATCGTTACGCCGCCAAATTCGCAACCAAGACCGTACATTGTTGAAGAGGCTTTGGCCTTGTTTATGGATTTGGAAATGTCTAAGGACAAATATTCAATATTGCGACATTCCTTGAAGCAGAATAATGTCAAAGTTTTGCCAGGATATAAAAAAATTTGAAAAAAGTAATAAGATGGCAGGACCGATTCCACAAGTGACGGAGTTATCAGCGGAAGTGAAACTTCAAGACCTGGTGAACCACACTGCGAAACGGCTTATGGAAAGCTTACCTAAACATCAGATTGAGAGTTTCACATTAATCAGCAAATGGGGATGTGATGAAAATTCAGGATACTTCGGAACATTGAAAAAATCCCCGAACTTCGTCTACTCACTATTGCCGCCCGATATTATTTAAATATGCCAAGGAATCTTCGGAACTGATATAGCCCACAGTAACTGATATTACGAAATAGATTGCAAATATAAGGCCAGGATTATTGGAATTCAACTATTAGTGTGAACTATGAATTTTCCCCTACTACGCGATTGATGGAAAAGTTCTAAACGAACTAACAAATATGTAATGACTGAGTACGGGTATAAAAGTAGAGTCGCGGCAACAGGACTCACAACGTTCCTTGTAGTTTTTTTATACTTTTACTTTATTTAAACTTCAGTAATGCATTGCAATACCATCTAAAAGCGACTTCGGCTTATATTAAATAGCAAAGAGTAATAGGGGTCATTGTTCACGTTATCAAAAAATGATCGGTTATGGACTTTTTGTGCTTTGTTGGTAAATTTTATACGTTTTAGCGTGTTTCAGAGTAAGCGATAAGCATATGTACGTTAGGATTAGTAAGGACAGAAAATCGGATCTTCTGTTTTTTGCGCAAATGAATTGTTGATTTCGTTTAATTCGAACCTCTTGTGATTGAGTTTCGACAATTGCGACAAGCTCACACGCACACTTTCGTTACTTTGCTAGATTCGTTCGTCTGTTCTATCTGCTCTACTAATTCGCATATTTGCAAATTCGTTCGACGGTGCAGCTGGGGCAAATTGCGTCATGCTGACATTTTTTACTGTAACACACTTACAAATTAACCAAATTGCTGTTCTTACTGATGAAAATCGTTATGCAAACCAAACACATTACAGGACTAGCTCTTAGCTGACAACCCTAATTTCATACCTACTTTCAATATATAAAAAAAATTCATACGAATCGGTCGAGCCGTTCGGAAGGAGTGGTTCTACAACTATAACTACTTTAAGGAGTTATCTTTTACAATCGGAATCCCTTTGCAAGGAAATAAAAAAAAGTTCGAATGTTACCAATACTTAAGTTATTGCCCCATATAAAAATATGTACATGCTATGAAAATAATATACAGGGGCTGCATCTCATAACACTACTCAACCAAATTGAACTTTTTCTTTAGGCTGTGGACCAAAATGACTTTTTATACACGTACTCAAAAAAGAGTTAAGGGGTATATTAGATTTGTGGTAAAAGTGGATGGAAACGTTTCCGACCCCATAAAGTATTTATATTCTTGATCAGCATCAATAGCCGAGTCGATAGAGCCATGTCTGTCTGTCCGTCTTGTTTGTCGGCTGGATCTCAGAGACTATAAGAGCTATAACCAATTTTGGTTTCCAGACTCATGTGATATCACACTGCTACAACTGTATTTCCAAATTTCGCCCCGCCCCCTTCCGCCCCCACAAAGGACGAAAATCTGTGGCAGCCACATTTTTAAAGATACGACAAAACTAAAAACACAGTATCGTAGAGAATATCTACCAGACTGCCGAATCTGAATCAAATCGGATCATAATTATAGCCAGAATGAAGAAATGAATTTTCTGTTGCTTCCCCCGCCTACTTCAGCCAGAGACCCGCTACTCATTGTCTCTCTCGCTCGCACACTCTGCCTCGTTCAGTGAGCGAGCAACCCCTAGCGGAGGAGATGTAGAATCTAAATGGTACATGTAGAATCTACATGTTAGACGTAGAATATACATAGTAGATGTAGATGCTGATATATGTAAAATGTAAAATTTTTTTTTAATTTTAAAATAAGAGTCCGATTTATAGCTGCATTGTCAGCTTTTCAGAACTGCAAAGTTCTATGCAACCAGATATAAGATACTTAAGTTACTTAGATACTTAAGCACTACCACTAACCATACAGTATATAGATGTGCCAGTTTATACAAGGAAAGGGGCGCAGTTGAGTTTGCAGCGTACGTTCCCAGATCTTCGGCTTTGGGAATGGCCGCGTTCGGCTCATGACGTCACACGAGCCAACTGGCAGCAAGCATGTATGTGTTGTGTACGTGTACACTCCAAAACATATGATTTTATGCATAGAATAATTTTTAGCTGCCGAAACCGACTTTGTTCGAGATTTCAGTTTACGTAAACGTGTGTGTGCCATGTTTAAAACCAAATCGACCTATTCAGGGCCGGATCAACCCTCAACCGGGCCCTGGGCAACCATCAATCTGGGGCCCTCCATTTTTTCACGCCAGTTCCTTCTTTTTTCATTTGAAATAAAAACTTATAAATTTAATGTTTGTTTAATTAATGTGTATGTTTATCAGTGGCTATTCTATTTTATATCCATTATTTGGAGTTTTGTTTTTTCAACAAATTTTTTTGTTAGCCCTAGGGGGGCCCTCGGCAACTGCTAGTTCGGCTCTGGACCTATTCCCGTCGTCAGACTTCATATTTTGTTCGCGTATTCTGTCGCTCGACTCGACGCGAGTCGAGGCATTGATGAAGCCGAAAGCAAAGGCAAAGGCTAGCCTAAAAGAGAATGGAAGAAATACCCCGCGCGCCCGAAGCAACAACAGCTTTTCAGAACAAAACGAAAAAATTTTTTATGAACGCTTAGAATAAAATAAATGTACACATCTAGTAGAACATTTTCCAGAGCTTTAGCGAATCTAGTTTTTAAGATAATATTAGTTTAGGAGATATGAGCAGAGATAACATCCTTTATTTTTATATATTGTATTTATTTCCCACCCCCACCCACTCATTCCTCATTTATGTTGCGGCAGGTCAGCACACATACGTTTACGTAAACTGAAATCTCGAACAAAGTCGGTTTCGGCAGCTAAAAATTATTCTATGCATAAAATCATATGTTTTGGAGTGTACACGTACACAACACATACATGCTTGCTGCCAGTTGGCTCGTGTGACGTCATGAGCCGAACGCGGCCATTCCCAAAGCCGAAGATCTGGGAACGTACGCTGCAAACTCAACTGCGCCCCTTTCGTTGTATGAACTGGCACATCTATATACTGTATGGTTAGTGGCACTACCTCTGAAAAAAAAAACATTAAAAAAATACCAGATTTTAAAAAATTCTTAAAAAAAACTTAACCATAAAAAAAACCATAACTCGCTAAAAAAATTTAAACCCCGAAATCTAAAAAAGTCGTTTTGGGCCACAGCCTAATTGTCGTGTTGACTAGTGTAAATGGACGTTTGTTAACCCAGTACAAATATGCTCAAAAAGTATACAGAAATGACATAAAATTGTTGTTTTTTAAATTTTACTATAACTTCATCGTATTATCTATCTAACTTATAAACAAAACTCATTATTTTTAGTGAGAACAGTTAGTTTTAATTGAAAACCGAAAACGTCAACATTTCATATATTAATGGAGAACAGTTAGTTTTAATTGAAAACGAAAACGTCAACATTTCATATATTAATGGAGAGAGGGCTAGTGCAAAACTACATTTTTCATACATATGTATGTAAATAACCAATATTTATTTATTTATTCCCATACTTTTCACTTCAGTATTCACTTCAGTTTATGCAGTTGGGAGTGTACGACTAAATATGAAACCGAATTATACTTATGTATGTACATACATATATATGTAAGTAAGTACATATACTTACAATAGCTTTCGAATAACAATTTATTGCGTCGTCGTATTTGCGAGCTGCAAATAAACAGTTTCCTTGTTCTTTCAATTGAAGATCAGATAAATTTGTTGTAGAATACATATGCTTGGTCGTCATGCTGGTAAATTATGCTGGATTACAGCTATGTATTTACGGAATAATCAAGTTTCAATAAAATATATTAGAACGCTGAATTAATAATATTCCAACACAAACTTTCCATTTAGTTAATGGTGGATGCTGGCAAAACTTTTAATTATTCAACACATTAGTAAATATCTGTTTTTATTGATGTTACTATTACCGTATAAAGTTATTAAGATGTTATTTTCGAAGTGTGTGTTTGGAGACGTCAAAGAGTTCTAATAAGGGTACTCAAGAATGTGATTAGTTAAATTAAATAAGAATGATAAGTTAACTATATTCCACACATGAGTAGTCTGAATTTCGGACTTCTTAGTTTGTTAGTGTTTAAAGCCAATTCCAACTGGGCGACCATTGTCCGAAAGGTTTTGTCGTTCTGAAAATTTCCCAGTTACTCCACCATCCATCAAAAGTGTTCCTAATTCGCACGTTTCTGTGCGGTATTTTTTCGATAATTGTCAAATGTAACCATAAATTTTTGACATACACAACAAAAAATTGGAATTCACAACGAAAAAATAAATAGAAGGAACGCTTCTTGGGATGCGACTCTACTATACCCGTACTCAGTCAGTAAATACATTTTTGAGCTTATAATTTTTTAGAAGTTTAGAATTAAAAAAAATATTTTTTGCTACATCTGTTATCTACATATACAATGTATATTCTACATCTATTATGTACCATTTATATTCTACATCTCCTCCGCTAGAGGTTGCTCGCGCACTGAACGCGGCAGAGTGTGCGACCGAGAAAGAGAATGAGTAGCGGGTCCTTGGCAAGAGGAGGCGGGGGAAGTAACTGAAAATTTGTTTCTTCATTCTGGATTCAGATTCGGCAATCTGGTAGATATAGCCATTCTCTACGATACTGCGTTTTTAGTTTTATCGTATCTTAAAATTTGTGCCTGCCACAGATTTTCGTTCTTTGTTGGGTCGGAAGGGGGCGGGGCGAAATTTTGAAATACACTTGTAGCAGTGTGATATCACATGAGTCTGGAAACCAAATTTGGTTGCCCTAGCTCCTATAGTCTCTGAGATCTAGGCGCTCATCGAGACAGACAGAGAGACATGGCTATATCGACTCGGCTATTGATGCTGATCAAGAATATATATACCTTATGGGGTCGGAAACTTTTCCTTCTCTGCGTTACACACATCCGCTTTTACCACAAATCTAATATTTCCCTTAATTCTTTTTGAGTACGGGTATAAAAAACAACAAATATGTAAACAATTACAGAGAGGTAAATGGTAAAAAACTGCAACAAAACATCTGATATGTCAGAATTGTCTCAGACACAAAACTCGGTTTGTAGACTATCCTATGGGATCATCTGATTTATGAATGCTCTTCATAACTCAAGCTGGATATTGCACACGCTATCGGCTGACAGCCATCCGACTTTTGTGTACTTAGAAAAAGAGCCCGAAGTATACAATGCTGCGGCTATAGAAAACTTTCCTTAAAAAATGTTTTCGGGTATATCTTTCTCCCAAAATGTCCCAAACCGCTTCTCAACAAACATAGAATATATATTTGTGTTTAAAACATTGATTGGATTAAGTAGAAGCAGTCACAAATGACCGCGCTTCGGTGTTTTTAAAACAGATATCCATTCCAATAAATTCTCCTCGTCAATGTTAGCCTCAGTATCATCATCTATGTACAGCAACATGATTAGATTGTGAAAGATTGTGAATGTTTTGCTGCTGAATCACATTTACAACCATTACAATGTTATTTATATCAATTTTAATTGTAAATGTGAACCAATTTTCATCGCACGCAATGGAGCATCAGCTGTTTCTCGTGGGTGGTTGATGGTGTGAAGTGTGAATATGTGTTTCAAATCTTTCAAAAATTCTACCGTTCCCCATAGATGTGCTGTGTGGGAAAAGGCTATTACATATGTATGTATATTAGACTTCTCTTTGTGCCGCCATGGTCCAATGCTTGTTCTTTTTTCCCATTTGCCTGTTTGTTAAAGTTTTAGTTTTCGTAGTGAATGGCACTTTTTCGTGAATGTTAAATGTTTGTGGTTGCATTTGAAAATGATCGAATAATTATTGCGTAGAAACGTGCGAGTTAGGAACATCCCAGATGGATGGTTTGTCCCAGACGTTCATCACAGATGACCCTCGGGTCTCTAGTACCTTCAATTTAAATTAAATTAAATGGTCGTCAGCCTTTCGGGAGATACAGGGGGACTAACGGATGAAGGGCTGTCTCTCCATACCTGTACCCTCGGACTAGGGGTACTGTACAGGACAAGCCCTGAGCCGATGCGGCCTTGCTCTAAATGTTCTAGGATATGGGGTGATCATATGCGACCCCTCACCCGCCATAACTGTACACACTAGTGGAATTGCGAATATACTCTCCTCGTAGGAGCGGCTGGAAACAGGTTCTGGTACGGTCTGCCATGGATTCTGGCTAATTATAGTCGGGCGGAGAGAAGAAAACTCTCGTAGTGAAATTCACCAATCCACGGTGAAACAGGATATGCCAATAGTGCGTTGCATATGGTTGCAAAGGGGTTGAAGCTGAGGCTATGGGCCAGCTCGATAATCCCGGATTTCCAGCCAGACAAAGCCGGAAAGGGTGCAGCCAAGGCCCCGATCAAGCGACAACGCTCAGCGGAGGATCCCGCTATACAGCCAGGCCAAGCCCAGCAAGCCAAGCGGGCGAAAACCAACCCGGTGAACAGATCGTTTGCTGAGGTGGCGAGGGGTAAGACCTTAATTGGCGTCCTGGATAGGGGCGCCAAGGACGGTAATGTCCCTCGGGACAAATGGCATCTGGTCGATGCAGAGCTCCAGGACAGATTTCTGGAGGAGCTCACGGAGAATGGCGGGCCACCGCCTAAATGTGAAAGCCAACGCCTGCCAAGATGCTCGCTCGGCGGCCCTCTATACGAAGGCAGTGGCGGCGCTCAAGGAGGCCTACCCAGGGGCCAAACTGGAGGCCGTCAAATGGGAAGACATCCGCAGCAGACCGAGGGCTAGAGCGTGGGTCTCGGTGAAGCCTGAAGAGTCGGAGAAGATCTTGAGGGTTCTGCAGGTCTGCAACACCCACCTTCCGACAGCCGATTGGAAGGTGGCCAAGGTGGAGGAGATTACTGAACAGAGGCGCCAGATAAGTCCTCAATGAGGAGTCTCTCGTACTCCTGAAAAAGTCGGACGGAGAAGTTGACTATGGCTACCGGAAGGTGACCATAGTCCCCTTTAAAGCCGACTCTAACTGCAGGCAAGCAGAGATCAAGCCAGATCTAGAGCTGCCAGAGGTCCCGAAAGCGGAAAGCCAAACCGCGGCGTCGGACGTAGCGTCGGAGATGTCGGACAACATTGTGGACCGCTACGAATCGGATGCAAGCCAGGGGTCTTGGACGTATCGATGTCGGAGAGGATATGGAGTCAACCGAGAGCGATGCCGACGACAAAATGGTGGAGGTGAGCGGTGAGCCTCGAAGGCCAGGAAAGCTCTCTGAGGATGTGCTCCACATATATGGGTCACGACCAACCTGACCCCCCTCCACACGCGCCCCTAAGGGCTCTCATCGCAGACGGCGAGGCCGAGGACATCGACCTATTTGTGTGATGCAACGCCAACGCATACCACCATCGGTGTGGAAGCACCGACACAAATGAACAGGTCCCTTTTCAGCTATAGACTGACAACTCAGATGGTCATATTAAACCGGGCAAACGATCCCACCTTTATTATTAAAAATCGCGAGGAGGTCCTGGACCTCACACTTGGCTCTAACACGATACAGAATATGAGAACATAGTATTCTGGAGGGTCCTTGAAGAATACTCCTTCTCGGAGCACAGGTACGTGGAAACTTTCTTCTCTTTCTCCATACCAAGTCCAGTCCAATTCCGGGACCTCAGGCGTACAAACTGGACTCGTTACTCAGACATGGCTTCAGACTAGAGTCGTTTTTTATACCCAAGGCAGGTAATAAGTCTTTCGTCCATTCTTTTGAAGACGATGGAACAGCTTTTAGGGCTGCATCTCAGGGCGAGTATTCCGCCCAATCTAATCTCTGATTCTCAGCTCTCCTATCGGAATGAAAGATCCACCGAGACGGCCCTACACGCGATTACATCGATTACATCGACCTGGGAACTGATTCCCGGACGGTGAGTCTTTTCGATCAGATGCTTCAATGCAGGACCGCTTAGGCCTCACTGGGGACGTCAAAGTCTCCTAGGTTTGTCAGCAGAGGCACACCGCAGGGCGGAGTCCGCCACGTGGTGGCGTACGCTAATTATGTTGCAATAGCATTCTATGGAAAATTTCCACGGACGCTATGCGAGTGCATGACAAGCACTCTGATGAAACTGTCCCAGTGTGCAGACAAATGCGGGCTAGGTGTTAATCCGTCTAAAGCGGAACTATTACTCTTTACCAGTGTAAGATACCTTATTTCAAGCTGGGATATGAATCAGCCGGTCCAGGGTTCCTCTACAAAAAATTTGTAGATTTGCTGGAAGATTAGGTTCGGGATGTGCCTTGTATGACCGATAGAGTGGTAGACAAGGTGAAACGTTTGCTTACCGAAGAAAGTACTCCAGAACTTCTGTTTTGTATTTTTGTTCTGGAGTTAATTAATTATTTTTATTCGCGTTACTTGTTTATTTACACTTTGATGATGTACTGCCAAGTGTCGTGTCTTGCGTTCTGGCTGATGTACTGCCCTTTTAAGCAGCTGGCGATCGCACCTGAGACCGTGATTTTCCACAGTGTGTCTTTGACCCGGAAATAATTAATTATTGCTATCTCAGGATTATTGGGCAACAATAATTGTAGGGTGGGGTAAGTAGGTCGAAGCTTGGTGCTTCGTTGAAAATTGGATAGTGGGTCCGTGGAGTTGGATAAGTGTTTTGCTGTGTGGGCATCGCGGAAGGTGAAGGTGCTGACTCCACCGATTGCGAAATAGCGCAAGAGGTAGAGAGACTGTGAATTGGAGCGTGGACATAAATGACCGAGAGTGTTGGTGTTGGCTTAAATTACAGTGATTACGTAAGGGGGATGGGGGATCGATAATTTTATTCTGGCTTGACTTATTGTGAAATAATGAAAAATTATATTTCTTATGTCGGTCAACGGGCGTCGTCCCCGTCGATTGCGCAAGAGGTGAGGTGTTTTAAATTTGTGTGTGGACAAGAATGGGTGGAGTTGTTGATTGAGAGTTCTTAATTATAGTAATTGTGTGTGTTTCTTAAGACCATTTTATTTTCCGGAGGTGCTGACACATGGCCAAGAGCCATGGTTCGTTGGCTCGGTGTATATCAGTTTGATTATTGCTTCCGACCAGCGTGGATGCGCTGACACTCCGCTGTTTGTGACGAGCCATGGCTAGTGCCATGGTCGCTAC